ATGAACTGTGTGGAGGACCAACGCGTGTCTATCATGTAATTATCCTTTCTCTGCCATTGGGACGCACGAGGCAAACACGGATGGGAAGCGCCTGGGCTGGTGGAAATGAATCAGTCATTCTTAGAGTCCTGTATGTGGGCTTGGGCAAGGAGTGAGGCATCAGCGCCACCCACAGGCAGTTGGAATAGCTGCACTTGTGTCTACCTGCTGCACATCAGCCCTGGACCCAGCATTGGTATATGACCACGGAATTCAGTTCCAACAAGGGGTATTGAATGAAAAGCTCAGAGACGGTAGTGAAGCATGCATGGTTGTGAAAAATCTCAAGGCAAGTTGACCAGTTGCTCACTCTTCTCTGTAGAAAAGATACTGATGGTTCAGGTTAGCATGGATTGAGGTGGAGCTGCAGTGAATGACAAGAATGCAACCCAACTCAAAGAACACTGATAGGAGACCTACTTCATGTCATATACTGAGCTTCCAAAGATGAACAGAACAGTCTGTACCCACCACGAGCTCAAGTTTAGCACCATGTAGCCCATCACGTAAAGTTCTTTAAATGAAGAGGTTCCATCAATAGCAAAGTTGGGGGAATGCTGCAGGTTCCACCCTCTCTTGGAGATCGACCCTGTTCGTTTGCTTAACAAAGTCCCTAGACGTCCTGGGGGTATGGGCTGAGGTGGGAAACCTGCTTGGCTGTGTTTGCTACATACTTCCCAAATCTGTTTCACTACAGAACCCAAGGAATCTGATTTAGGATTTGGATCTGATTTAGGAAATGCTTGCTTCAAAGGTTTATGCAGCCACTGTAAACCCTCCCTATTAGCAGGTGTGTCCAGCCATCGCAGAATGTAGAGGTGGGAAAAACATGATCCAGCCTCCAGGGGAGGGGTTGGCAAGAGCTAAACAGGGTATTAGGCTCAGCAGATAGACTGGGATTCAGGATAGAGCCTTAATCCTAGAGGAAGTAGTACCACATGGAGAAGTGGTGTAGACCACAGAATGAGTGTGTGTGTGGTGGTGTAAAGTTGCGCTCTCTGTAATAGAAACCCAGTCTGCACACGAAGACTGAGAAAAGTGGAGGGGAGAAGGGAGCGGGGAAAGCAGGGGACCTCAAGGATGAAGGGCACCTGGACTCGTCCTGCCCTACCAGGTTCCAGAATCTTTGGACAGCTGGACTCTAAGCTCCTTTGTTGAGGCCCTTGTGGGCACTGCCATGATTGGCTTAGAACCCAGGGCAGGGTTTGACAATAGAAGGCATCCTTCTCTGAATGCTAACGTACTGGGCACTATACCCAGTTCTTTAAATAGGACATCCCATTAAATCCTCACTACAACCAAAGAGGAAAGTGTTAATGTCCTCATGTAGAAAATGGGGAAATTGAGGCTAAAGGAGAGTTGAGTAATGTGCCCATGTCCATGCAGTTAGTGAAGACTTGAAGCCAGACACGTCACCCCCAGGTCATTTTCTTCAGTCCTGCAAACCTATTTACATGACTTAGGCCCTCTGCAGGCTCCACAGAGGCCCAGAGGCCGGACTTACTCAGAAGTAAATTCAGTTATGTATTCATGTCTGGGTTAAGACAAAGGCAGGGCTTAAAGCCAAGTTCAATTGTTGCCTATAACAATTCATTAAAATAAAAAGCATCTTCTATGTAACCTTGGGAATTGTCCAGGATCACCTTTTGTTACATCATGTTATCAAATTTGTAAACACAAAGATATTCCTAATAAATTTCCTGGTGAAAACCAAAGACCCGTCAACCCGAGAGATCTTTTTTCTTCCTCTAATCATTTTAATGCATATGTCAGTTGCAAGCCATGATGACTTCATTTTTATACTCTCTATGACTTCAATTAAAGGCAGATTAAATAGGGCGCAGATCCAATCAATCAAGCATTCATTAGATGCTGGCCGAATGTGAGGCACCGGGTCAAGTGTACTTAACCTGCAACTGTTTGGTGTGGAGTTGATGGGGTTGAGGCCTCCTTCTATGCCTTTGGCCACACAGAGCTCACGATGGCACATCCCTGAGTGAGATCAGGGCCTGAAATCAGCCTCTCATTTCTGACTGGGCTCCTCAAACTGTCTGCTTAGCTCAGGAAGGCAAATAGGTGTCACATTTCATTCCTGCTCCCATGGACTGTGGGTGGCTTCCTGGACCACTGAGTTAAGAACGGATTCCACAGTCTGGCTCAATGGGAAACAGAGTTGTACTGTTCACTGCTGTGTTCCAAAAGCAAGCAGGGCTGCACCAGCCAAGAAGGTTCTATTCTTGCCTGGACCCGGAAGCTTGCCCTGCAACAGTTTCACAGGGCAAAGAAACAGGGTAGATAGAAAATACACTTTGAAGCACCTAGCTGAATGGCAACATTGTGAAATTAACTGAGACTACTTCACAAAGGATCCAACCCTTAGGATGGCCAGATCCCCCTTGCTTGCCTGATCAATCAGGCCTGATGGCTGATAATCGGATTCCAGTGGTGAGAAAACAAACTGGCTTTGATAGCTGGAGAGGCACTGTTGTGTAAGGGAAAGGAACACCGGGATGGTGGCTGAACTAGATAAATTCTATGTTTCCTTTAGGCTTCAGCATTTTCTATGTGTGAATATTCCTGCTAGAAACTATGGGTCTAGGGCTTTGATCTTTTGTCAGTGAAGTCACACTTTGAGAGTCCAGAAGAGTTCAGAATCAGAAGATGGGGCCCCATATTCACAGAAGAGTAAACTGTGATTAAAAAAAAAAAATTATGGTTAGGCAGGTACCCTAAGCCAAATATGATAGCAACACAATTGCTATTGTCAGTTGTCAAGACTAGCAGGCAGATTTGCCTGATTTTGCTCTAAACCATGCTTTTATTGGTACTTATAATTATGTTCTTTATAAATTAAATTTTAAATGCAAAAGCAATACATTCACCCTATACAAATAACCAAAACATTAAAAATTAGGCCAATTTATTTCCTGGTGGCCATCCCAAATCCCAATCCCCCCTCTCCTTCATGATATTTAACCCCCCTCTGCATAGTGAAGTTCACCTTTATAGACTTTGTTCTTTGCATTTATGACCGTAAACCATACCTGCAAAATGTAAAGTATCATGGAATTTTCTGTATACAAACAAGCCCACAAAAATGATGTCATCCTGTGGATAACATTCCATTGCACAACTTAACTTTTTTACTTAATAATATATCTACCCAAAAGATCAAAAGTCACTTTATGAAAAAGACAACTACACTCGAATATTTGTAGCAGCACAATTCACAGTTGCAAAGTTGTGGAAACAACCCAAGTGCCCATCAATTCATGAGTGGATTAATAAAATGTGGTATATGTATATCATGGAGTACTACTCAGCTCTAAGAAACAATGGTGATATAGCACCTCTTGTGTTTTCCTGGATAGAGCTGGAACCCATTCTACTAAGTGAAGTATCTCAAGAATGGAAAAGCAAGCACCACATGTACCCACCAGCAAATTGGTATTAATAGATCAACACCTCAGTGGACATATAGTAATAACATTTATCAGGTGCCGGGCAGGTGGGAGAGGGGAGGAGGGGATGGATATATACAAAGTGAGTGAGATGTGCAGTGTTTGGAGGGGTGGTCACTCTTGAGGCTCCAACTCAAGGGGGCAGAGGGGGCATGGGCAATATACATAACCTTAACACTTGTACCCCCATAATATGCTAAGATAAAAATAAATAAATAATAGTAATATATCTTAGAGAGTTTTCCATGTTAGAGCATATTAGATGTACAACCTTTTTGAAACTGCTGTGAAGTATTTCACAGTGTGGGGATACTATCATTTTAGCAGTTCCCCTGCTGTTGGACAGCTAGGTTATTTCCAAATTTTTCACCGTTATGGGTAATCCTGCTGTGAACTTTCTTGCATAAACCCCTTGCTGATACGTGCAAATGTTTCTTGAAAGTAGATACTGAAAAGGTGAATGCATTGTTTTTGCTATTTACTGCCCAATTATCCTTGAAAGGCTATAGCAGTTCTTGTTTGCATTGGCCGTGTGTCAGACCTGTTATATGACGCCCTTATCCATCCTTGAACTAATCAAATACTCCACCTGCTTGTTACAGAATTAGGTCCTGCTTGTCTGGGGGGAAAACCCACCCTGTTACCCTCGTCTTTATGTCCAAAGTGCCTAAAATAACGTGGCTGCTACACAGTAGGTGCTCGGACAACATTTGCTCCCATTTCCCCGTACCTGGAATATCTTTTCCCTTTGGGATCCCTTGTCCCTCATGTTCACATCTACTCGTCCCTGGGTGACCACGTCAGCAACCTTTCTCCGCACCCCAGGCTGGGCGAGGCGGCTCTCCTCTGTGTTCACGGTGCCCGCTCTCGATGCGCCTGATATGTTTATCATTTTTCCCTCTGTATAGGCTCTCGCTCGTACTGATCTCTGAACTCCTGCCCACAGGGGACGTGTCTTTTTGCAGCTCTATTTCCCCAACACCCAGCCCAGGCACACATAGTAGGCATCGATAAGAGCTTTTAAATGGATGGGCATATACATACACAATGAGTGAGATGTGTACCGTCTGGGGAACGGTCATGCTTGAAGCTCTGACAGGGGTGGGGGAGCAAGGGCAATATACGTAACCTTAACATTTATGTCCCCATAATATGCTGAAATAAAAAAAAGGAAAAAGAAAAGAAAATGAAGGCCATTGTCATAGGGCCACATCCACAGTGCAGTGGAAGCCGATGAAAATACACAGCACGTCAGCAGAAGGGAAAATGAAGCAGTCACTCTGCTGAACAGCAAAGATGTTTTTCTTTATTTCAGGTCTTTTCACGTGATGGAGTGGGGAGCGAAAGCTAAAATATGTCAAAGCTCAGGAAATACTTTTCTTTTTGAATTTGGAGAGTGATTGGCACATTCCTCCATTGCTCTTGCCCGGGTGGGGAAGAGGCTCTGACCATCGCTGCCCCCACGGTAACCATGTCCCGCCCTCTCTCCTGCCCCCGTAGGGACCACAGTGATGCGGATGACAGCCATCGACGCGGACGACCCGGCCACCGATAATGCCCTCCTGCGGTACAATATCCGTCAGCAGACGCCTGACAAGCCGTCTCCCAACATGTTCTACATCGATCCTGAGAAAGGAGACATTGTCACTGTTGTGTCACCTGCGCTGCTGGACCGGGAGGTGAGCTGAAAGGAATACATTCTCTTTTTCACGAGAATAGAGTGTGGATTTCACACAAGGGAACACATGGGGCTTCAGTCAACAGCGCTTTACATGGTGAAGGCAGAAATGCGGCGTTTAGACATGGCCGGGCAGGGATGATCTATAAAAGGAAACGAGATATTATGTGACCCAGGAAAACACACACTCTAAAAGGCCAAATCATTTGGAACTGTTTGCATTCGTTCAACCTGATGCCTCTGTTTCCTCTCCAACCCCTACTCTTTAGGCCCTTGTGGTGTTGGAATCTCAAGGGAGGGGAGTGGGGAGGAAGGAAGGGAGGGAAGGAAGGGGACTGTGTCCCCAGGGTCTCCGAGGCTCTCCTTGTCCCTTGTTGCAGGGTCAAGTGGCTTTGCCTACTTCTTTTCTCTTTCCAACCCTTAGCTGCCGACGTCACTGTGTCCCCTGGAACCTCTCTCTTCCTCACTCTCTGTTCTCGTCCCTTGGGCTCCCTCTGTGAAATCTCCTCCATCTTCTAGGTCATGTGTCACAAGCAGGTGACCCATAGGACCACAGTCAGTCCACACACCTGCTCTTTGGTTTGGCCCATGGTGTTTTGAATATTTTATAATTAATTGCTATATCAAAATATTTAGATTTCAAATTTCTAAAAAAAAAAAATCCTGTTTCCAGGTTTTTTGAAAACCAGAAATTCTGGAATCTTTGGGGCCAATTTCCGTACATGCACAGTCAGTCCTATGAGATGTGACATTCACATAGATCTGGGTGTCAATTGTCCTGTTTAGGTGGGACATATGCTCCTCCCCTGTCTATGTCCCCTTCTAAATGTGCCCCTCTGGCCCTGCCCTTGCCTAAGTTCAAGGTCCACCTTGTAGCTCACTATAAACTACCTTAAGTACCCTCGTGGCCCTCTAAACACAGCATAAGCCAACTTGTGGATTCCCATCCACCTGTCACCCCCTCCATCCACCCCAAATCTCTCCCATTCTGGAATTCTCTGTTCCTGACATCGCTCCATAGGCATGACACCATGGAGTCACCTTTGACCTTCTGCAAGCACCATCTACTCCAAGCTAAATGTTGGATTTCCCTCACATGCTCTGCATTTTACCCTCAGTGTTTTCAATTAAATAAATCAATGAGTCTTTTCCTCTCCTTTCTATTTTTTTATATGTTGTATCTTCTGACGAGATTCTGGGTAAGATCAACCCCCTCTAAGAAGCCATCCTCACCCACCTCAGTTTCCCACTGTCTTGTTCTTCCTCTGATCTCTGACCTCCCTTACCTGTAGGCATTGTATGGCACTTGCCATGTGTTACTTTAAGTTGTTATTTGGCTCTGAAGAACATTCCCTTTCTGTTGGTCTAGACCTGAATTGCCCAATATGGTAACCACAAGTCATATGTGGTTATTTAAATTTTTATTTATGTATTATTTAAAATTAAAATGTATAAGTCAGTTTCTTGGTCACATTAGCCACATTTCAAGTGCTAAGCAGTGACATGTGGCTGCTGGCTACTGTGTTGGTCAGTGCAGATAGAACATTTCCATCATCACAGAAAGCTCTACGGGGTAATGTTGGCCTAGACCAGGCATCCTCAAACTACGGCCCGCGTGGGCCACCTAGCACATTGATCCTGCCCTCCGGGTGTTTTTGCCTCCGCTGCCTGTCCTGCTTAGCAGCCGACTCGTCCCGGGCCCACAGTGCGCACTCTCCAACAGTATGAGGGATGATGAACTGGCCCCCTGTTTAAAAAGTTTGAGGACCCCTGGTAGACTGTAAATTTCTTGAGAACAGAGACGGTGATCACAGGCATGCTTGCATCCCACTGCCTAGCACGGTGTGAGTACTCCGGAAATTCCTAATTGTATGTTGGCACAGAGGAGGAAAGGCAAGACTGAATTGAAAATGACCCTAAGATTTTATACTTGAGGGTTGGGAAGCAGTTAGAAATAGAAAATTATTGTAAGGGAGAAAAGAAATTTACACTGAAACTGGGATTGTCATTTGGAAAATGTAATTGTTTCTAGTTAAAAAATAGAGAAGTAGAAAAAATATTGAGTTCATTCCCTTCATTTTGTCTCCCATTCTCTAACCCTCCCTATTTTTATGACTGATGTATTTTCTTCTTCTTTGGAGGCAAGTAATGACTTTCCAGCGCTCTCTTGTTGCACACAAGGCATGCGTGTGCGCGCACACGCGGGCTCTCGCACACGCGCCGGCTTTCCCGTGACCCTGAGTGCTCCCAAAGGTTCTTGCAAGTCCTCACGGGGCAAAGATGAAACACAGCGATTTCTCCATCTCAGCTTAGTGTATTATTCCACTTCTTAAGTTTAATTTGGAGACAGATATGTTTCCAGCTCATGATCTTTTCACTTGAGCTTTTGTTAAGTTGCAATAAGTATATAATTATGTGAGTTAAGTGTTTCTCGCCACAATATATAAACAGCGCTCCCTCAAAAAAAAAAAGATAAATGCAATTTAACTGAAATTGGAAAATCTATGAAAATGAATGAAGAGTGTCACTTTTCTGTGAGGGTTTCCAGAGTTCAGTGCTGATTCAGGCAACATCAGTGCAATGCAAAGGAAAGAAACGTCCCTAAAGTTAGGCGAGCCTTGTCTGTTTGCTAGTGCTGTGGTAAGCTCCCCTTCAGCGTGTTTGCTGAGGAGGGAAAACGTGACTCCAAGTCCCTTGTCCTTAAAGGGACAGCACTTGCACATCACTTGCATTGAGTGATCTCTCCCAGGGTTTGCGATGTTTCTGTCTCACTGAGACTCAGCAGCCAGGCATAGTGGCATGCTCCTGTTATCCCAGCTACTTGGGAGGCTGAGACAAGGAGGATCGCTTAAACCCCAGAATTTGAGGTTGCGGTGAGCTTGCCTGATGCCTTGGCACTCTAGCCCAGTGACAGAGCGAGACTCCATCACAAAAAAAAAAATTTCTATTTGGGACCCTAAACCCTTTGATATAATTCACATCAATTTTAGTTACCCTGTCGTCACTCGTGTATCTCAAATAGCGTGTTTGAGCACTGAAGATGGTGAGCGTAAGCAAATACATAGGGACTCCTTTGAGGGTGGGGGCTGCGGACATGGGGCAAACATTTTGCTCCAGCTCCCCCCAAACGAGGGGGCAAGGCAGACATGTGTCTCCTGGCTTGTTGGGGGCGGAGGCTCCAGGAGCCCACTGGTTGACGTGAGCTCAGTTGCTACAATGTCAATTCTTCCTTTTTATTTTCCCTGTACTGCCTTTCCTTTTACATACCTACATCTCCCAAGGAGGACCCCCAGCAGGAGGTGTTTGCTCAAGGCTCAGACAGAAATAAGACGTCTGTGCAGGTGGCGGGCACTGGGCATTTTCTTTGCACCTGCCCATCCATTCACCTTTCCTGCCTTTCACTTGTTTGCTTTGTAGTAAAGCTTATGAATGAGGATAGTCCAGTACTGCAGTGGAGAAATGAACTTTATTATGTTACCACTCTGGCTGTTGTCCTTTCTTCTGAATCACCTGGGCCAACTGAGGCAGGTGTCCTCATCTGATCAGCTCCTTTTCATGCTCCAAGCGTCAGGAGGAAAGGCTCATGTCTGGCTTGTTCCGTGACACATTCCCAGTCCTTAGCACATGAGGGATGCTCAAAAAATATTTGTTGAGAGATGAAAGACAGGAAGGATGTGAGGAAGAGAAGAAGATTCACAGCTGAGTTGTGGGAGCAGGTGACATGATCTTCTATGTCATACGTCCCCTTCCGTGTCATAGCTGAGCATTAATGGGCATCAGGTTTCCCTTAGAAACACGGTACATCTTCCATTATAAGCTCTTCCATTCACTCTTTTTTTTTTTTTTTTTTTGAGACAGAGTCTCACTCTGTTTCCCAGGCTAGAGTGCCATGGTGTCAGCCTAGCTCACAGCAGCCTCAGACTCCTGGGCTCAAGCGATCCTCCTGCCTCAGCCTGCCCAGTAGCTGGGACTACAGGTGAACGCCACCACACCTAGCTCATTTTTTCTATATATTTTTAGTTGGCCAATTAATTTTTCTATTTTTAGTAGAGACAGGGGTCTCACTCTTGCTCAGGCTGGTTTCGAACTCCTGACCTCGAGCAATCCTCCCACCTCAGCCTCCCAAAGTGCTAGGATTACAGGCGTGAGCCACCATGCCCAGCCCATCCATTCACTCTTGCTGAAGCCCTGCCAGGATGTACACTTCTGAAGAAAGGACCTTTATCCTGTCTCTGCAGTCTTGTTGCCAAATACAGTGCCAGAGAACTAGCAGGCATGCGGTAAAGATTTGCGGGATGGGCGAATGAATAGGTGTGTGAATGTCCTGTGTGCCTTAAGTGTGTATGATCTCAGAAGAACTGCAAGATCCACATTCCAGCATGGATATGTAAACGGAGGAAGTTATTTTATTTTAGTTGAGAGCTTAGCCTTACCCTGTGTAAGTATCCAATAACCACTTACGCTTACCTTGCGCAAGAACTGTACTTGGCTCTGAGAAACAGTGCCTTGGTCTACTTGGTGACTAGGATGGACGTGAGGACCTGTGCCTCTTTGCTTAAATGTCTGTGGAAATGTTCAGAGAAAATAAAACCAATATATCCCACTAAATGAAATTGGGTTCACCGGGGGCACTGTTTTATTCTTTTCTATAGCCATACTCAGTTCCGCCATCCTGGCGTTTCTTTCTGCGTTTTTAAACTATGTCTGGCCACGCTACAAAATAAGATCAGATAAAGTCCCTCGCATTTGTGAAATGGTTTATTTAGTTGATCATCTTGGCTGCTAGACTGAAATTCATCAGCTGAAATCTGCCAACTCTTCTGAACACAACCACGATTTGCAACTGCTCAAAGTGGCTAATGGTCATGTTTTTGTGGTTGTTGCTGTTTTTAAATAAAAACAGTCTTCAGGACAGACCCTTCAAAAGCAATCTTAACATTTGCATTGTGAAAGTATCATTAGTCTTTTTAAGGAGTTTGAGCTGAGCACTTTTCTATCCTT